TATCAAAAGTTATTCAATTTACAGTCAGGTACATTCTATTTTGAAACAGATAGTAGTTTTACTTTTAGATTTAGACAAATCTCATTTTTCTATAGATTTCATAGTTCAAAATTCCTTTCATTGAGAAACACTAATCTGATGGGTTGATTCCATACAAAAAATCTTCCACAATAAGACCGTTGTTCTGCTCTTAAATATTTCTAAAAACAAAACATAAATCTGTCGCAACGAATTAACAACATTTGAACGATTCCTTTTTTTTTTTTATTGAACATTATTCTAGAGATATTCATCCAAATTCATCATTACCAATACAATCTAATGATGCTGTTATTGAAGCATTTTATAAGAATCGATTTGATTATCTTCTTCGAAATCCATCTAAGGCTCGTGATGAAATAACTTTATTTGCTCGTCGAGTTGGTGAACTTGTTCATGAACGTTTACCACGTTTATCTCGTGTTCCACATCGTGTTGATATTAGTGATCAACGTGAATCAAAAGGAAATATTGATGAACGTACATTATTACAAATGAAACATAAACATACATTATCATTAATAGCACAACGTCGTCAATTAGTAAAAAAAATGATGATACAAACAAAAAAAAATCAAATTAAAATGGAAAAATTAAATATAAAAATACCATTAAAATTAAATAATTCATCTTGTTTTCGAGAATTATTTGAACGAACAACTATAGAAGAACAATGAAAATATTTTCAAACAGATTTTATTTCATGAATACAAAATAACTGAAAGTAAAACAATTTCATTTTTATTATGTTCAATAGATAAACTTTTTTTTTTTAAAAACAAATAATTCGAACTAATTATTGTTGATCAATGTCCACAATCAACATTAATTCATATATTTTTTATTCAATTAAAAAATAAAATTTTTGATTTACTTTTACTCATTAAAACTAGAAAAAGAAAGTTGTATCGTCAATAATTAAATTACTAAATAGAGGTAAAATTTCAAAATTTTATTTATTTTCCTAGAATTGATCCTAATTTTGTTAGATATGCTCTCGAACGAAGATATTATCAATATGCCAACAAAAAAAAACGAACAAATTTAATTCTGACAGAAAAGAATTAAACTAGAAAGTTTACAGCTGAGAAGCTACATTTAAATATTAAGAATATTTCAAAAGTGATGATTTTTTTGTATTGTTTTAAGATATGAGTTAAAAATCTTTTTTCAAATCAATTTTGATTAAAAAATTATTATCTCGAATAGAATTTATTATACATTCATGAATGTCAATTCATCGAAACAGAAGAATAATCAACAAGAAATCTTCGCCATCTACAGTTTGACTCGATTAATTAATCACGTAGAATATTTTCTTTAAATAATGAGTCAAACATACTTAAAAATAAGACAAGTATGAAATGAGAGTAGATTTCTAATTATCAAGTTTATATTAAAAATATCTTAGAACTAATTTTTTATGGAATTACAAAAGCAACGATCATCCATAAGCAATTAAGACATCAAAGATCATTATTGTAACATCCAAAAATATATTCATACATATGTTATTGCACTATGTCGTATTAGAACATATGATAATCATTTTCTAAAATTCTCTACAAGACGCACTATATTAAAATTGTGTCTCGAACGGTCGTCTTATTGAAAAACGGCTTACAAACAAAAAATCAAAAAAGTTAATTTAATAAAAACACAATTTTTCAGAAAAGCTAATTTTTCTATATCATTTGTTACATAATTATTAACTTCAAGATGACAGTATTCGTATTAAATTAACTCACATGCAAATATATTTATATTCGATCAATTCAAACTCTTCACTATACATCAATACACTTTTCTCATTATATTGGATGTATTAGCTGAACAAGACCTTTTGACTTGTGTTTAATTATTCATATCTTGTAAAAATATTCTTCTTTTGTTCATTATTTAATTGAACGATAGATTATTTCTACAGATTATTGATATTTAACTATAAAGTCTTTAGAATAAATTTGTATCGTATTTAGAAGAAGGAAATTCGCCAATATTTATAACAGATGAATGAATATAAATAATAGATAAGCGAGATTCTTTCTGTAGTATGAAAACTATTAACATCTTATTTAGTTGTTGAAAATGAACGATATCTACGTATATTTAAAATAAAGAATGAAAGTTTCAATGATATTCAAAATACTGACAGCTGTTAAAAGATGAATTATGTACACAATGATTCACAGTATGAAAAAGAACAAAAATAGGACGAAACTATTTTTTCTTTCGTTATAATACACACTTTCATGTTTCATTTTGTACTCGATACAAAAGTCTCACTATGATAAATCATATAAGATAAAAATATTTACTTTCTCTCTTTAATTCCATGATCAAATATTTACCATACTTGAATTTATATACGAGTAATTAATCGGGGATATTTTATTTTGAACAATCGAAGAAGTCATAACGATTTTATAACTACTGATAAAATTCAAGAGTATTTTTTTGTCTACAAAAAAAAGTCATAAAAAATTTCTTTTTTATGACATCAAATTCTTGATAATGAATGATTGCACAGGTGCAAAAATCGTACGAGGATCATATAAGATCTTATACGATCTTACTGACAATTAGATTTTGTAAGATTCAGATTGTATGATCTTACGAAATCTTGCAAATTTCTTGTTCTAAGATTTAATATGATTCTTATTATAAGATGCTGGCGTCAATCTGATATGATTCTTGATATAAGATTCTTGCAAGATCTGAGGATGGGAGTCTTGTTAGATATTGTAGGATCTTGTCAGACCATAATTTTAAGATATTTCTCATGCAAACTAGTTTTTATAACGATAGGTTTATAGATGTAGATTACTACACGTGTTTAAGTGATGGAATGCTTCCTAATAGAAATATAATTTCTTTTTAAATTGCAAATACACGTTTTGTATACAGCGATGCTTATTATAAAAAAAGCACACTACTAATCAATTTGATTTGACTTGATTAAGTTTATTATTGTTTTGACTTTTATCTTGTTAAATTCATTTTATCGTTTATTCTTATTGAAAAAAACATTTTTTGTATTTGTTTGTAAAACTGTAATTAATAATAATTCTCTAGTGTAGAGGACACGTAAGCTGACAATGGCTAATATAGACTATATATATGAGCGAGAAACCGTTACATTCGTTTTATATTCTGGTATGGTGGAAGAAATTGCACGTCATATATTTTTTCAAAAATACAACTAGGCTTTTTATATTAATTTATAATTCTTCAAAATTATCCAGTTTTGTTTTAGATATTTGAAATTCGTATCGATGTTATTTAGTCTTTTTGGTTTCATCGACTGAATTTCGATATTTTCGGGTTTTGTTTTGACTCAAACTAATGATGAAAAATATTATTTTATTTTACTTTCAATCAATGTGAAAGGAGTTAGTTTCATTTGATGTATATGCTTAACTTATTTCAGTTAAGTTATAATTAATCTAAGAAGATTATCTATTTATAGTCAAAATAAAATGAAAGCAATTTAATACAACTATACTTGTTTTACGACAAAATAGATTTACTTTCATAAGATTATTTATTTAATAGTCTGGGAAAATAAACTAAATTCAAAGTGAAGAGATTTATCTTACTTGAAATAAAGTTAAACTAATAGAATTATTGCATTTATATTTTTTTTAATATAAAATTAATATTCAATTTGATAACATTATTTAGAATTTACATTATATTGAACTAAATTAACCTAATTTTGTCATTTTATTTTATTTCAATTGAAATAAAATTAACATACTAGATTTTTTCTACAATTAACTTAAATTATTTTATCTGATCATTTCAACTAACACAAAATAAATATAATAAAATTATTCATTTATGATTAAAATAAAATCAAGGAAATCTTATCCAATATAATTTGGTTAAAACCGTTTTCCAAACTACAACTTTGTAATTAATTAAGTCCATATCAATATCGAACTCTACTCTATATACTAGTGGTCGATTATTCGAGGACGAGCTTAAAATTAACATCAAACCGAACTGTGATCTGTTTTTGATAAAATTACCCATTACTCATTGCATGTTTTCATGTAGAAATGATAAATATTTTTTTTATTTAAAAATAAATTTAGTCGGAGACGAAGTAAAATGATAAAAATTTAGCGATAAATGTTTTCTCTTGAAACAAAGAGTTTGAAGAAGGTAACTCAGCCTGTTGAAAAATCAGGTAGAGGTGATGAAAAGTGCAAGAATATCAATCATGCGATGCATCCTATAGTTGTATAGAAGCATGTATGAATAATGCAAGATCTTATGAGATCATACAATAAGATCATATAAGAATCGTACAGTACGATATGATCAGATGTGCAGGCTTTACGACTATCTTATAAAAATCATACAAGATCGTATATGACTTTCATACGATCTTATATGATCATATAAGATTTCACAGTAAGATCTTGTAAGGTATTGCAATATCGCACAAGATCTTATTGTCGGATTCTTCGACCTGGGTGAAGAGTTTTTGATCATTGATGAAATAAAATAAATATGCATCAATCAATATTCATGCATATAACAATTGTATATATGTCTAGTTGTTGATTTCATTCAAAAATGAATAGTTTTTCAATATATTTAACATTTCAATCAACTCTATTCTTAATCAACAACATAATAAGCTCATAAAATAATTAATAGTTTTCATGTTATGTAGCCAAAACTTGTACATATCAAGTAAACTAACTCTCAAAATTGAATTACAAAAAGAATGGTTTTTAAATCGATTTCGATATTCGTATGAATTATTC